CAACCCGACCTACTCATACCAAATGTCCAATTTTAAAACTGAAGGTAGAGGTACGGTGGAGTCATGATAAAACCTCTGTGGGTTGTACGTATGCAGCAAAGCTCCTGAAGCAAATAGGGGAATGATGCTCAGTAAATCCTAAATCCACACATGAATTATAGACAGTGTCGGGAAAATGAAGGTGGGGTAGAACACAACTGGAAATGTCCCTTTTTTTGTTTAGGGCAAGAGTGCTGTCTGGGCAGAGTGTGCAGGAGACATAACACAGGATGGCCAGTCATTACGAATGGGTGCAATTGGACATCGTACACAGAATTTCTATTACAAACCTGACGATCCCCCTGTCTGTGTTCTTACAACCACCTCTGTTGGTTTATGTAAAGGTCAGGGTTGCACTGTGTGTCTGAAAACAACTTTACATAGACTCACAGAGATTGAGGGAGAGAAGGTGAATACTGCAGAGGGGCTAAACACATGGCTCTCAATTAGAGATCAGATATTCGAATCTAGCTGGTCAATGTGTTTTCTCCGATATTTGCAACATTGGAATGATTACAAAATGAAGTTTACACCTGTTTTAATGCGTCACCCAATCGCAGTTTGCTCACTGTCTGTCACATAAAAAATGTATTTCAATAACTGCTAATTATTTTTCAATATTGGCAGCATCACAAATGCTGAATTGTGCGGAAATAAAGTTCGAGACTTCTGAGACTCTATTCAACATTACAAAATTCCTGTCATGACCGGTGGTCTAGGAACTACATTAAGATTTAGTTTCCATTCTATAAAAAAATAAGTTTCTCATTTCCTTAAGGTATCTTCTTATACTGCCCCCAACCATGCCTCCTCCAAATGACTCATTACTCCAGCCCATTTGGCCCATTATTTTCCACAGATGTTACATCCTTGTTCTGATTGGTTATTCCTCCCATCTCTGCTTGTCCCCAGCCCAATATTGGATGCTGTAGTCCTCCAGAGCAAGACTGTGGCCATCTGAGCTGCTCTGTGTTATTTTAGTCTTTGAGGATAATGGCAAGAGATCAATGTGATGGATGGTTTTTATGAGGGCAGAGTATTGATGGCTTGATGGCAGTGAGCTGAGGCTGTGGGAAGGGGAACATCAGTCTGAATACATTACCCCCACCCTCTCAACCCTCCCCCTTTTTCCTGATTCCTCCCCATTCCTGTTTTTTTCTTTTATTTATCACTCTGTATTTTTTTTCCCCCCTTTTCTCAACCCTCTCTTCTCCAGCTCAGCCAGCTGTAACTGGTCATTAACACAAACATTAAGAGCTCTATGAATCCATAGCTCCTCCATCTCCTTGCTACTGCCCATAAAACAGAGCAGCAATAATGACACACACAATAGCCACACTTGACAATCAGGGGCAGGGGACAAGTGTCTCCTATATTAATGGTAAAAGCAAAGCTATTAGAGGGGTGCCGGTGGTTACTTTAATTGGCTTACAAATAAGTGTTGAGTTAAAAGGCTCTCGGTATTTGACAGTTTTTCATCAGCAAAAAAAGTTTAAGTTCAGTTAGGTTGGTAATGATAAAATATGAATTAGGTGATGCAAAACTGTGTAAAATAAAACTAACTGGGAGTGAGCTCATTTTATAGAGGCACATAAACACGCTAGTAAGTGAAAATTGGCATGTGCATGCAAATACTCCGGATATAAAAACATCAGTGGACATTAACAGAATTAAACTCCATAAACGACTGCATGCGATGCCATCGCATGCAGAGCTTTTGGTCCATATTGACATTATAGCATCACACAGTTGCTGCAGATTTGTCAGCTGGACACCCATGATGCGACTTTCCTGTTGCACTACATCGCAAAGTTGTTCCATTGGATTGAGATCTGGTGACTCAAAGGCCATTTGAGTACAGCAAACTCATAGTCATGTTGAAAAAAACAAAAACGGACAGAGATGATTTGATGATTTTTTGCGACGTGATGCCTTTTCTCCCCAGAAGCAGGCACCAACATGGGTACACTGTGGTCATAAAGGCATGGGCAGGGCGAGCAAGTGAACTCACTTTGCTGCCAACACCAACACCAGCATGAACTATTGATACAGGGCAAAATGAATCAATGCTTTTATGTTGTTTACACCAAATTCTCAACCTACCGACGCAATGTTGCAGCACAAATCAAGACTCATCAGGCCAGGCAACATTTTTCCACTGACCAGTGTGAACTGGACAAAGGTAACTTCTGTTCTTAGGTGACAGGAGTGGCGCCTAGTGTGGTCTTCTTCTGCTCTCGATGTTCATTTGATTTATTTGTTTTTATGTGCACGCTTAATTCTGATATGCATTTCTGTGACTAGAACAGGTGTTTAGATGTATGGCTCGATTCTATTCGAAAAAGTAAAATTTGTATTTATTGGTGGTCTGAGAAAGAGCCTCTGGCAAGAATACACAGATGCCACGAGGCAGATACATTTGGCTTAAATTATTTAAAAAGCACAGAAAGCATAGAAATACTGTAACAGTGGGGGCCGAGACACCATATTAACATGACTTTGTTCCTGAGTGTATGCGTCACATCTCTGAAAATAGTGGGAAAATTATCCTCCTAAGACCAGAACTCTTCCATGACATGCATTTTTAATTTCTCTTTGATATTTGGGCATATTGGGGCCCGATGAATGTAAAAACAAAGAATTACCAGTTGTTGTTTGTTTTTTTACCTTATTTTTGTTTTTAAGAAAAATGAGAGCCACATATGAGGATATTCGTTTAAAATTTTGATAGAACAGTAGCAGTATAATGTTCTCCTAAGTGGATATCAGGCCCATGTAGAGCAAAATTGATATAACCCAAAATGTGGTGTGATGTGGACGTCAGGTCCTAGGATAAGGTTAAAGAGATGCCAAATATTAGTTATATACCAGTTTTAATGCTCAAAATAATCAAATGTTTTGCCTCAAGCTTTGTGCAGCAAAACAACAGCTAGCAAATCAATATGTGGTTGCTAAACCATCAAATTATCAGCAGCACCTTTTCCAAGCACACATAAACACACAGGTATAACAAAGCACTGAAAAGAGCAAAGAGGGAACTGGGTCACAAAGTTTGATTTCGACTAACTAATGCACCTATTATTAGTTTTGGTTGTCTTTAAACAGCCGTGACACCGCATATCTACTGAGGAGGAGAAAGATATAGTTCATTATTATATGAGCCAATGAATTTCTGGACAGACTCTAGATGGGCATTATCGGAGACGCCTCAGGCTCCTCTCTGGCGTGAAAGATGGTGGTCATTTGGCTAGACAAGAGGCGGTGAGGACCCCCTCCTAGACTGGAGCAGACGGGTGCAGAGGAGCCTAGGGCTGGCTGTATTAATGAACAGGCAGCGCTGAAAGGGACAGGTTTCTGTAATGCTGATGAATGGTCATTACAGAGCAGAGACGGGAGAAGAGAGCACAAGGGGAAGAGAGGAGAGGGGGAGAAGAGTAGAGTGAAGTGGGCACACAGGGAGCAGCAGTGAAAAAAGGCTTTAATTTGCACCTCAGATTTCTGTAAACTCGTTTATCATGTCAGCAGTGCCACTGTTCCTCACGTGCCTTCCCACTCCATCCTCTACATGCCCTTACTAGACCCAACCATTTTTTTGTTTGTTGCCAGATGTTTCCACATATTCTTTGTGCCAAATGGTTTTATTACCTGCGCTGGTTTTCAAACAGCAAAATTCGACGGCTCACATTTATCAGCTCTATCTCGCCTTGCATCATTTTATGGACTTTTTTCCATCATTTGACTGGATGTTGCGGCTGTGTGTGAAGAGCCAATATCTTCTCCTCTCTATTAAGCTTGATTGAGCAGCTGGAGTTTTAAAGGTCATAAGAAGGAGGAAGCACAGGGAGATATATGCACATAAGAAACATGAACTGACTTGAGGCCTGACTTTGGAGAAATAAATCTTTGTGCCAAGCAGTTGCTTTAAATGGAAGCAAAAAGCATTGTATTATTATAAAGATTGAAATTGATCCAAGGAAAATAAAAAAATGAAAAAGTGTTTCAGATCATTTTCTCAAAATATTCCACAAAATATTCATTTGAATTCACTGGTGCTTTTATGTAACTCTTTTTTTTTTTTGGTCTGTGAGCTCTGCTGTTGTATGCTAAAGAATAATACATTCCTCTTAAAAATACTGTAACTAATTCAAATATTGCACACTGAATATCAGTGGAATGCCACTAACAATTTTTGCAAGGCCAGCTTTTGCACAGCTGGACGGTTACTCAGATGATTTCAAAGCAAGCTTCTTCTATTTTTTTTTTCTGTGATTTCTCTGCCTGATTCTCAGTGAATCCAGCCAAATGTTAATGGCACGTTTTTAGCATGATTTGGTGCACTGAGTTAATTCCCCAAGGGGCTTCTGATGCTCATCCAAGACCCTTTCTGGGTCACACCTGCAAGAAATGGCCTGCAGTGAAATTCAGTTCAGTATGCACTCAAATGGCTTTCCATCCATCCTTGGCTCTCGTGAAGTCCCTGCCTGTCTGTCTAATTGTAATTCAGCAGTGCTTAATCTTGAATTTGTTACACACTATATTTTGTAACGTATCGACTCAATGCCCAGCGAAACTTGGCATCGACAGAAAACGGTATTGCATCCAAAATCATGCCTTGGTTTGCGCTTATGCAGTGGGAGTGCACATCCTACAGCTGTGAGCCTACTTGATAAACAAGACAATAAATTGTTGCTTTGCACTTGAGGAATTAAATTTTTTTTAAAGTAATACATTTGTGTGTCATCAGTGGATTAACAAGCCCCAATAAGCTGATGCATTTTTCTCAGTCCAGGAAGAGGACTCAAGTTAGTGCCTTAGGGAAATTACTGATATGTGTATGAATTCTCCGTGGCTCTGCCAATATTAGCATTCTCTATCAAAAAAGAGTGAGCACTGCAGCCTTATAGCAGATAATTACTTATCAGCCATGTGGACTTCTTTCTCTCTTCTCTGTCTTTCTATAGTGGGAGGAGGTGAGTGGCTATGACGAAAACCTCAACACCATCAGGACGTACCAGGTGTGCAATGTCTTCGAACCAAGTCAAAACAACTGGCTCCTCACAACCTTCATTGATCGCCGCGGAGCACAGCGCATCTATGTGGAGATACGATTCACCGTGCGCGACTGCAGCTCCATCCCAAATGTCCCCGGTTCCTGCAAGGAGACGTTTAATCTCTACTATTATGAAAACGATGCTGTCATTGCCACTAAAGGCACAGTCTTCTGGATGGAGGCCCCCTACCTCAAAGTGGACACCATTGCTGCTGATGAAAGCTTCTCACAGGTGGACTTTGGCGGACGCCTGATGAAAGTTAACACAGAGGTGCGAAGCTTTGGTCCGCTGTCTAAAAATGGCTTCTACCTGGCCTTTCAGGACTATGGGGCCTGTATGTCTCTTCTGTCAGTCAGGGTATTTTATAAGAAGTGTCCAAGTGTGGTTCAGAACTTTGCAGTCTTTCCAGAGACCATGACAGGGGCTGAAAGCACTTCCCTGGTCATTGCTAGAGGGACCTGCATCGCAAACTCAGAGGAAGTAGATGTCCCTATAAAGCTCTACTGTAACGGAGATGGAGAGTGGATGGTTCCTATCGGTAGCTGCACTTGCAAAGCTGGGTTTGAACCTGACAATGGCAATGTCTGCCGAGGTAAGTGGATTGATCTTTTTCTGTAAAAAAAACACCATGGTTGCTATGAGAGTGTATTATCAGGACTTACTGGGCCCTACGTACATTTTTCTTTCTTTTTCATTATTCAATCTTTTAAAGAGATGGACTCCCCAGAATAGAACAGATCAATTCACCTTAGTCTGTTGGCATTAATTTATTCTGTTTTGGTATCACATACAACAGGGCATCATGTTACCTTTGGTCACAGGTCTTCCACTCTAGTGTAATGGCTGAATTGATTGTGTTTCATGTTTTGCAGCTTATGATACACCATACTTTTTCCTTAATCACATCTACCTCCAGGGAACTAAAAAGATACATTAGCATTGAGTTGTAATCTGCTGTGAATGTCAGCCTTTTGTCCATCCTACCTTTCAGATGACAAAAGGTTTGATTCTGCCTCTGTGATGTGCTGATGAATACATTCTGAGGAATAGATAATAGCTCATATCTAAAAGGAAGGTTGAATGGGCTTTTAGTTCAAGCTGTCACTTTCTGTTTTTGCGTGCCCTCTAATGCACCTTGTTTTTCTGACACGCACATATACAAACAGAAGATTTGCTCAAGGTGTCTGACGATAATGCGAGTGGCTTGAGGCTCTCGGTGTGGCAAAGTATTGGTTGGCCTGCCTCTCGGGGTTAGTTGGAAAGTGTGTGGAGCTCAGATAAGATTGATTTACCCACATCTGGTCTGATCAATAAACAGATATAAGTGCCACATATCTACAAAGCACACTGTGTGTGACTGTGTCTACTGTATCCTTCTCACATTGCACCATGTCCTGCGCAAAACCCACCTACACACTAACGCACATCATAACAAACACACAAAGTCCTTGCCAAAGATTGGATGACTTTCGAATGAAAATAACAGGGCAGAAGTTAAAAGGCTGTGCTTAGGTTGATGTAAACTCTTAATTTAGTTTCAAATTTTTACACCATTTCTCAATATTATAATTCTCTTTACAAATAAATTGTAATCTGTGTATTCAATGCTTTAAATGCATAAGATAGACTCTCTTGTTTATCTTGTAAATAATTAAAGTGATCGGCTGATCAGCGACTTTGATTTATCCGATATTCGCTTCTCTTAAGTAAGTACAATTATCAATAAATCAGGGGCTCAGTTTGCTAATAGATCATGCAAATTTAGAATAAAATCCAGTTAGGCCGAAAATCATGGTCAACAGTCTAATTAAAAGCTGATTCCTCTGATGTCCATCATGTACTGGACAAAATCACTTAAATCAAATGCTAAGACTGCCCATTGAGATTGGTACACGCAATATATTTAATGTTAAATTATTTCACTGAAAAAAAATGTCCTAAGTATGTTTTTTTTGTCTTTCTTTTCTTAAACTTATGTGTTTGTGACACACAATACTTATGTATTGGTCTGCAATATAAAAACAAAAACACAACAAAATAATTATAATAAGCAAAATAAAAACAAACTACACATTGTCATCACCTTGAAGCCACGTGGCCTTGATAGAGTACTCGGTTACAATACTACAGTCAGACCGAGCCATTTGTGCTGAATATTCATAAGTCCACTGAACATGCTCCTGGTTGTACATTGACCTAACAACCCTTCTTTGTTACTGGACTGCGGGCTCCTGAACGTCTTGGTCTCAGAGTCTTATCGATAGGCGAGTAGCTCTCGTCACTGTCATAATTCTTGACATGAAGATTGGATCATTTCAAGCCTGTTAACAGACTTCATCTTGATGCTAGTTTTGCTTCATGTTTACATTAATTATTTGTTTATTCGTGTTAAATCCTGACTCACTAATCATGCTGTTGGCATGTGTGGCATGTGCATGAGCATGCCATGCACTTGTGTTCCTATGCAGTGCAGGAATTTTAATTCAAATGAACCAAATAACCTTGCCTGTCCTCTAATGCTGACAGTCTCATAGTCTTTAATGGATGTAAACTTACACTGATCCTTGTCAGTCTTTTCTCCGTGTAGCGTAACTTTGCCTCTTTCCCCATTATTTACCTCAGGCTTCTGCACACTTGGTGCAGAATAACTGGAATGTTAGTATGAGGGTTATTGTGGCTTGTGTTAGTGGAAGTCACCACAAACACGCATGTTCATGTACAGACAATGGTCTCACTGTAGAAATTGCTCTACAAAGACCACTAATTCCTACAATCCTCCAGACTTCCTTCTCTAGTACATTTCCAGCTAAGATAATCATCTCATCTCTCTCTGATGGAAATGCACTACTTAGCAGTGCAGGGACTTCGAAATTCTGGTCAATACTGATGTTTGAAATTTCATCCAGTGTTGAAGCCTGTTTTTGTTCTATTTGTGTTGTTTTTGTTTTCCCGCTCTGTTTCATAGTGCACTGCCTAAGCTCAATGTCTAAATGTATGCCTAGTATTGTTATGGAAGCTAGTGAATTCAGCCTATACTAAGAGGAAATTACTGGGGTCTGTAGCTTAACAAGAGTTGACAGTAGTATGAATCTGTGAGGCCTCGATCCCACAGGTCTCCAGACCAGTAGGTAACCCCTACAAAGAAAACCTCTTTGCCATTTTTTGGACACTCGTAAGTTTGCTGTGCTTGCCCGTATTTTGTGTGGAAGATACAATTTCTCTGTGAACACTCATTGCGGGAGGAGGTTTCATTACCGTTTCATTACCGTGTGGCAAGTGTTTGCAGATATATCAGCATATTCCATACAAAATACAGGCGCATGCAGTAATCTGCTAGTAAAGAGGTTTTAGGTGCAGCAAACTACTCACAAATCTTTGTGTAATATACATTTTTCCGTCTGAACCAGTGGTTACCAGATGATTGCCAATCGATCTCTAGGACTGTGAGACTGTGGCCTAAAATGTTGTGTTGGTTGACCATAGTCGTCAGCACAAACACTGACTTGACAAAAAAAAAAAAAGGCCGGAGTAGAAATAGATGATCTAACCATTTCTAGCTCAAATAACTAGCTCACTCTCTGGAGTCTTGTGTGGAGTCAGTTCCCCTCTCATCTCCACTGAGAGTCCCCTCCAATAACAGCAATCTCAACCTTTTTATTTTTTGTGCAGTTTCTTTTCATGGACTTGCAATCCATTATTTAAACAGGGAAATCTAACCTTAAAGTGCTTGTGGAAGCTCAGTTCTATGGGCAACCAATCAATTGTGGGGTTGGTGCAATAACACAGCCTCAGCATTGGGTCAGAAGTAATTGCCCATTAGCGATGAAGGAACAGGAACAGGAACAAAAAGAATATAAGAGCATGTAGTTTCATGCTGGAATAATTCCCCTCATTGATACCAACAAAACAAAAAGGTATTGCTTAGAAAAAGGAACACAGTAGTACTGTGTACAGTCTGGTAAAGTGTGGAAAATTTTCAATTAGTGCCTTTATTATGTAGCTCTTGAGACACAAATTAATGTAATTTGCCTAATTCACCAGAACCTAAGAAGGTAAAAATTAGTTTCTGCTTATAGTGACATGAAAACGAAAGTGCATTTATTCTAGCTATGCATCTGTATATTACATATTATACCCACCATACCAAAACTTCTGTTAGGTGGATCATCGTTTTGAATAGTTGTCCTTTTACATGGAAAGCCAGTTTTTTGAATTGATAAATGATGGTTTTATTTCTAATTTTTTTGGAAGTTCTTTGTCGTGACAGCAGAAATAACGCTTGTTTCTTTTGCAGGTTTAATATGTGCGTTTCAGTGTTGTTTCAGGGCATGTGCGAGCTTCCCAGCACCTGATTGCACTTTCATTAATCTATATGTTTTAATTGTTGTCAGGTAGCGTGTTGTGTATGTGTTCGGTTGAGCAGAGAGACCATGTAGAGTTGTTGTGCTCTGTAACGATGATGCCAGCATGCCATCCTCATTACCAGCTCCCCAGCCACTACGCAAGCCATTTGGGTATCCCCCACTTTTCCTCTCCCTCTTTCTCTGTTCCTCGCTCTCTTCCCCTTAGCTTTGTAAGCAATCCGCTAAATATTTTATCACCTCCCTGTTAAATCGAGCGAGACACTCCAAATAAGACCCCGCTACCTCTACCAATACAAAGCTTGTCTCGGCTGTGTGTCCTGCTTAACTCAAGTATCCTAAACAGGCTTGTAGGATGGTTTCACTGACCCTTCTTAGAACTGGTGTCAAGGCCCACCTGAGGAGTAATTGATGGAATCACCTCGATCGTGCTGGCTTTGCGTCATGTGTTTTGTTTTGAGTCTGTCTAAGCATTGATCATTTTAATGTTCCGTATGTTTTTTTTTATTTGAAGTAATTAAAACACCACAGAAACCTAATTATTCTGTTGTTTAAGCTCTTAAAAGTGGACGATGTGGCATAGTTGCAAATTATCCTCTATGAAAACCAATTCAAAACTTTCGAGTGCTTATTCTTAATTTTGGTGTTAAAACTTTATTTCCTGTGGGGAGCCAAATTTTCGTTGGGCTGACAAATGTCCTCTTCAGGTCTATAAGGCTAGCTATATTTTGTTTAATTTTGTAATTGGTTATTCTCAAAGTTTCGTCTGTTTTTACTCTTTACAGGCCATATGCAACACACATAGCTGTTGAGACTCTCCCCACCTGTGTGGATGTGGAGATTTGTGTGGGCTCAGGGAATCGCAAAAGGTCTGGAATTGAAGCATTGCTATTGCAGCTACTGATTGCTTTCAAATGGATGTGAACGGGCTATGAATGAAATGGGGGAAATGAGAATTTGACTGGTTAATTTCATTATCTGTGGTACTATATGAATTCCCAGAATTTTGCTCCATACTATCCATCCATCCCTCCATCCATCCTATATTCCAGTGCAGTGACCATAAGTATGTATTTATTTACTTTAGTATTTATGTCATTCCTCACCCGAGCAGTCCTATAGGCTGGCACGCCAATATGAGTTCTCTCATATTTTCTCTCACTGTTAGGCTCCAGCAGGCTTTTGACATGCTGCCACATTAATATTACAAATATTCAAATAACTTTATTTA